CGACACAGGGGGGATAAGTATGCAGCAAGCAAGTGATAAGTCTGCAGTAATACACTTTAATTACAACAGCCCGGCAGGTGTGGCTCAGTGGTTGAGCGTTGACCTATGAACCAGGAGGTCACAGTTCAAATACCGGTCAGGGCACATGCCTGGGTTGCGAACTTGATCCCCAGTGTGGGGCATGCAGGAAGCAGCCAATCAATGGTTCTCATCATTGATGTTTCTATCTCTATCTCTCCCTCTCCCTTCCTCTCTATCAATAAAAATATATTAAAAAAAAAAAAATAAAGCTAGAAGCCAGGTAATTCTTTTTGTACTTACTTGAATGACATCCCACACTGAGGACATGAAGTCACAGAGAGAATCAACAAGGCACCTCTGTCAGGGTGTATGATTTTAGGGTGTACATTAACATCCTATTATATTAACAGAACTCTGTAGGAAACTGACATTTAACCTCCATGATATCTAACACCCACTAAATAACCTTGTATGCTGGCACCCTTATCTCTACACATAAATTGGCTTTAATGAGGAGACAGGTTGTTTACCTTCAGTGCCATTACCTTAAGGTGAACAGTCAGGCATGTTTGCACAGCAGCTGCTCTAGGTCAAAGCCAAGACAAGCTGTGTTTACCTGCTGTCCATCTCCCGAGGCCCATGCCGATGGAAATCCTTTTGTTTGAGTCAGCTCCAGAACCTACTTGCCTACTGCATTTGACAAACATAGTTTAGGTCCATAAATATTTTTTAAATTTCCTCTCCTTTAATATGTCCTTGGGTATTTCAATAATATCCATCGTTAGTCTGAAACCATCATAATTAGATGGAAAATTTGCCCTAACATTATGTTCATACTATTTGGCCTGTAGAGATCACATTTCTTTTTTTTCAAAGAGAATTTGTACTGCAACGTGTTGAATGAGCTGTCTTGTATGGCATTCCTTTAAAAATATAAACGTTAGGGCACTTACTATGTTTTAGATGGATATGATGTAGAGAATGAAAATGTCCCACTACGGTAGAAGCAGGATGAGACCACATCACAGAAGCACAAGAACAATAATGAAATTCCAAGAGCATCCTTGAAAGTCGACATGCACTTTCCCATGAGCAGATGAAATGCTACTGGTTTGGTAACAAACACAAATAGGGAAACATAAGTAATAAGACAAAATTCTGCTTGCAGAGCCAGCTATTAAGCTCAATAATTTGGTAAACTATAAAATAGGTGTGTGTTTAAAAAAAAAAAAAGTAACATTTAGCCATCAATTCTTTTCTATTTTGCCTTCACATATCTAGCCAGTATTAGAAAATGGCTTAGTATTTATATAAATTGACTATGAAGCAGGAGTTAGTATACTTTCCCTATCATCAGCACTAATAAACCTCTAAAGTGTATAGGAGAGAAGTTAGAGAGGAGAGATTGAATTAAATAATCTTTAGGCTATGTTCAAACATTAGCATATGTGAAGGCTGGAGCCCCACAACAGAAACAGAAGTAGCTGCTATTTATCTATCTAAGCTCAGAACCATGATTAAGCTTTGCCTTGAAGAGGGTTTAAATTGAAATCTTGCCCTAACAGGTTTGGCTCAGTGGATAGAGCGTCAGCCTGTGGACTGAAGGGTCCCCTGTTCGATTCCAGTCAAGGACACATGCCTAGGTTTCGGGTTCGATCCCCAGTAGGGGGCATGCAGGAGGCAGCCAATCAATTGTTGTCTCTCATCATTGATGTTTCTATCTCCCTCTACCTCTCCCTTCCTCTTTGAAATAAATAAAAATATTTTTTTAAAAAATAAATTGAAATCCTTGGGTGATTCTATTTTTGGGACCATCCCACCAACTCTCTCAAGGAGTAGATGTAAATGAGTGTCGGAGCTTCAAGTGGCAACTTCTCAGTTATTGCAGACTCTGCATCTGCTCGTGATGGTAATCTCCAGATCTGAATTTGAGGGACCATTGAAATTAGGAGTTATAAATGGAGAAATCTGAAGGAAACACCTAAATGATCAGGTATCTAGTTCTTCTGCTTGTTGTTTCTTTTCTTTGAAACTCATCCTATGAATAGCAACTCAGGTAGATTGAAAATTTTATATTTCAAGAGAAATCCACCAATCATAGTACCAACACAAACGGTGGAAAGATCTCCATCTGTTACAGCAAATGAAGAACATAACTTTCCCCTTGCGAAAAACAGTAACACATAGGGGTTTAGACCGGTTTCATTAATTCTCTCAGGCAAAGTAAATGATTCTAATTCAACATTAACTGAAACAAAACAAAAATAATTTTCTTTAGCTGGCTAAACAATGGTCAACTTTCTGTCCAATGTCTCTTAGTATAATACACTACTGTAGGTTGCCCGAGCCTGCTTGGAAGTAGGTATGGAAACAAAATCATCATTAGAGGCACTGACTCCTCCCAGATCCCTGAGTTCCCTCTGAGGCTCTGAATGGCCTATTGTTTATAGACATAAATCCACTGAAGAATCCCATGTTGGATTCTCCCATTCGCTACTGTTCTGCAGTGGCTCCCAGGGCAATCTTCCACACTTACATCTGCTTGATGGCCCAGAACATGGTACTAGAAACACTGAAGTTTCTATATATTCTCTACCATCTTCTCATATTCCCCAAACTTCTACAGATTCCCTGCCAACTTTTCATATTCCCCTTTAGATGCAGACACCAAAAAGAATTGTATGTACGTGAGTCATGATAAACTGGGTGGCACATAGAAAGGGGGTATCAGCCACGTATCTTTTAAGCCTTTTATTTGAGTCACGTTGTATTCTCCAGTGTTTCTATAATTCAAATCTTAAGCAGTATTGCTCATTAAATCTCCACAAGACCCAAACCATCCCCATAGCTGTCTGTGGTATCTTTCTAGCGACAGAAATATACACAGTTAGCCAAGGAATCCCCCCCACTCACCCAGCCAGTGCAAATTCCTACAGTCCTCCTTTATTTTAAAGTAAGCCAAGGGGTTTATGGGAAAATAAAAGCAAAGGCCTCAGTGCAATTCCAGCCAATAAGAAGGCCTTCGGCAGGCCGGACAGGCGAGGACCACGTCACACCACCCTGTGTCTTGGAAACAAGCTCAAGCAGCAGCACCATTTGTACTTCCACACACAGAGAAACAACGGGAAAACGCCGCCGCGCCCCGCAGCCCGAAGCTCACCGGCACTACTGATGGAGGACAGATCTCAAGAGTAAGAATAATTCCATGCTGTTCTGACCTATATATAAAAGAAAAGGTTTCTATGGTAGAGACAAGTGTCACATTCCAACCTCTGGGTAAAAAGTCATGAAAATAAAAATTAGGAAAGCTCAGTTGGATATAAAACAGTTACGAAAAATTTTAATGCTTAATTTACTCAAGCATAGCTTTCCATAACTCTTGGTTTAAAGACCTATCTAGGATATGATGAAGTGGTGGGTTGCTAAACCATCCAGTGAATGTTGTATGTCTGTTAGCATTCTAGACAATCTAGAGAACCACCTAGAGATGTATTTAAAACGTGTCTTGGCTGGCGTGGCTCGGTGGTTGAGCGTCGACCTATGAACCAGAAGGTCAGGGTTCAATTCCCGGTCAAGGCACATGCCCAGGTTGCAGGCTCGATCCCCAGTGCGGGGTGTGCAGGAGGCAGCCAATCATTGATTATCTCTCACCATTGATGTTTCTATCTCTCTCTCCCTCTCCCTTCCTCTCTGAAATCAATTCAAAAACAAAACATGATACCACGCACAAGCCCTACCTGGTCAGCAGAGATATTTCTGAATTAGGCAAATATCCCCAGATATACAAGATTCGGCTTGGGCAGATAGTATATTCAAATACTACCTTTTTGCAACAATTCATTGTTTCCCATTGCTTATATATAATTTCCTTCTCATAAATATCTCAACATATAATTCATTTCCCTTTATTTTAAGATACTTTCCAGCCCTCTAATTGCCTTGACTCTTTCCTATTCTCCCAAAAATGTTAAGCTGAGATTCTCAAGACACTAAGTGCTGTTTGGAAGACATTCCATCACTAGAAATAGAGCCCGCCTTGTTCTGAATTGCATGATGGGGTAGTGAAGACAGGGTACAGTCTCCCTTTGAAAAGCCCCGACCCACCCATATTAATGATTGCAGACCATTTGACTACATCTCTTTTAATGCTGATTGAGGTTGCTGGGAGCCTGTAATATTTTTTTCATGAGGAAACTATACCCTATTCTCAACCCACACGGACAAAGAGGAAGTGAGAAGGGAAAATGGTTTTCAGAAATACCCAGATGCTGCCCTGGTCTTTTTCCCTGAAATTCTCAGGTTTCTGATTTCAGTCTCGTCTTAATAAATATTCATGTGGGTTTAACAAGTGTTCCCATGGATGTACTTTTCTACCAGTGGCGATGCCACAGGAGTGAGCAAACTCTGTACTGTGGTTATCTTAAAGCAATTTAATGTTATATCATATGGGTTCGACTGTGTATTCAGGGAAAAGGTGCTAAAACAAACATACTAGTGAAGGCAGCCTTTCTTTGTCTTAACCTTATTTTTTCAGAACAACTTTAAAATGAAAGAATGAGGTGAAAGGAGAAGACTTCTTGAGGAGGGAAGAGGAATCGCCTGAACGAAGAGGTGAGCGCATCGCTCTCCTACCTTTCTCCCCGCCCCACACTTCAGGCCCAGTGCCCTTCGCAGGGCCCTACGCTCAGACGCATTCCTTGAAGTTGGTTTGGTAGTGGACATGTGTGTGTGTTGTCAGTGTGTGTAATTTTGCTTTTACAATGTTGGCAGTAAGAGGCAGCCTACTAATTTTATTCAGCATGATGATAGGCCCTAGCATTTTAATTATTTTTCATGTTATGAGTAATTTATTATTCATTGGGTATCTTCCCCGTAAATCTTGTCTTCACACTGTAAGATTTTTTCCTTTGGTGTCCAACAAAGGGTTTCATTGCAATAAGAATCAAGGTGTGTCCATGTGCTTACCCAGAGCCCAAACAATGCCAGCCTTCCAGACCAGCCGCGGAGTTTGGGGTGGAGAGACAGTGTCATTCTAGAACATCTTCACTCCTCTGCCCGGGAGAGCAGCGGTAGCACCCATGCCTTCCTAAAGGGCATCTCCAGGCACGTCTTGCTGCGGGCTGAATCCAGCAGCCCGGGGACTAGGACTAAACTCGTATCTCGCTGGGGTTTGTGTGCAGAGCAACCCGAAGGCATGGACTGGCTCCTCTTCAGGAACATTCACCTCTTGATCATTTTCCTGGTAAGTGGAATGTGAGGCCTGGGAAGGAAAGGCAGCCTGACGCCGTGTCTGCTCCGTCCCCTGGACGTTCTACATGGGATGTCATCCATTTGGAAACCCTGCCTGCAAAGACAGTTTCCGCCTTTGGTGATTTCAGGTCTCGCCAAGCTTGAGGGGCTAAATGCTACAGAGAAGCAGGGCGAGAATCTGGCTGAATTAGCCTTAAACAGAGTCAGAGACATCCTCTAATTCAGATTAAAGGCTAGAACAAATCTAAAATTTACAATCAGAACTCAAGTAATGTACCTATTTTATTAAGTATATTTTATTAAGCATAGTTCTTACACTTCAATCAGACAGATGACTGTCAAAATCCCTGGTGCAAATGGGTTCTAAATTTGAAGGGAAGCAAAGTGAATCCAGCCCATCTCTTTTAAACAGTTATTTCCCTGTGTGTTTCCTTCAAGGTGGAAGAATGGTAGCTAGGTCAAAATTACATTGCAACTAATTGTGAAATATTTAAGTCATATGAAATTTTTTTCCGATCAGAAATGGGGGAAAAAAGGAGAAAACCAAGCCCTCAAGGAACCCCTTCTGGATTATTAAAGCATTTCTGTAGTCCAGGAAGGAAACAGTTAGATCATCTATTTCTTTAGAGTAAATGTGACATTTTGTATCTTACTTCCCTCCAACCTCTGGGTGCCAAAGAATGGAGTGCTTTCTCCTCAGGCATCATGCTTACAGGATGTCCTCCCCTTAAAAGAAGTAAGGCAGCTCCTAGTGCCAGCTCTTAGAGGAACAAAGATAAGGTTGGCCGATTCCCCAAACTATTGCCAATTCAATTAGAAAATTCTATTTAAAGGACCAATTAAACTAGGTTAGATTAGATTCCAGTCTATTGATGGGCAAATGACAGAACAATTCAATCTGACTTGTCCATCTCCAAGTTCACTTCTTGTATATACCAAGGAAGAAATTCCTGTGGTTTTCACCCCATCCATAAATTTATCAACTTTTGGTACAAATTAACATGATACAAGAAATGTGTTTCCTTTTTCCTTCTTTGCATTTTTAAGGTAAACCATGTATTTATCTCTTGTCTATTACTTAACAAATAGCTATTTATTAACCACTGATTTTGTGTTCGGTACTGTAGTAGCTGCTGGAGATAAAAAGGTGAATGAAACTTATTCCTTATTTAAAATAACAATTAAGAAAAATGAGTGGAAAGATAAGAGGAGTAAATTATTAGAAAATTGCACATATTTTTTTCAAAGTATATAAAGGCAAATAATGTACAGTGTCCCAGGAATGTTGGCGGTGGTGCTACGACATGAGTTTGCAAAATGATTCCCGCCCTACTATTAGGAAGGAGTTATACAGGACACATCTAAGCATCAGTTCTAGAAGGCAGAGGAGAGCTGAAGCCAGACAGATGTGGCAATACACCGTGTCCAGTTGGTCCAGCAGGTACCATTCTGCTGGAGTCCATGTCTATGAACTTCAAAAGCAGTGCACAGCCCAAGCTTGAAAGGAACAGTGGTAGAACATTCCATTCTCTGAACTTGGAAGACATACTATTAAATAAGACCATCATGCAAAATAATGATAAACTGAAACAGTACAAATAGAAGTGCACTGCCCTGTTATGAGGATCATCCTTTCCTTGCATTGCTAAAGGAAGCAGAAAGAATCTGATTCCATCTTTCAGAGAAATGAAGAATTATTAGCATAGACCTCTTACAGCACTTCTATGGGGTACCTCCATCTTTGACTCGGATAAACCTTTTGTTTCCTGTAAGGAAAACTGATTGCATGCATCAAGATTTTTGAGGCAACTTCCGGGCACTAAAGTTTGCCTCCTAGTCCTTTCTGCCCAGGTATATTCTATGACAATATTACTTAACTGAAGAGTGAATTTTCTTTTCCTTGATCTTGAAAGAGTATTATATTTCAGATTCTTAGAATCTCTTTTTGTTAATATGGACTTATTTTCCCTCATAATTTTAGAGTCTTGATACTTAATTTCTCTCCACAGATCTTACAGTATTTGTGTTTCATATCTCATGGTAATTGTAATAGACTTAAGCTCTTTTTGTATTTCTAATAGATCTCTTAAGATATCAACTAATAATTTTTTCAATTAGGACGTAGAGATTTCTAGCATGTGTCAAGGTTTGGACAAGTGCAAGAATGTGTAAGGGGAATCAATACACTGTCACGGGTGCTGTAGAAAAGGGGCATTCCTGCTTGTCTTTCATTTCCTGAACTTCAACTCCGCCCCTTTTTCATTAACTAAATCAAAGGCTCTCTGGGGCATCATTGCAGCTTAGCCCAGGGAGGGTGTGGCAGCCTCTCAGAGACGGACGGGTCTGTGTCATCTGTATCTTAACCACAGAGAGCACTTTAAACAAGGTTTTGACTGACTTCACCTATAAAAGCTACCCCAACTCTAAGCTACAATAGGCATCTCATTCTCTCATTGAGCCCTTCAGCACCTTCATCCTAAGGTGCTCTTCATGTCCCTCACACACCGGGGTGGTGAGGGGCAGTCAACACTAAACCCAGACGCAGAAGCCCAGACTGAAGCCACGGATTCTCCTCAAGGGGTTGCATAACCGTGGCTAAGGCACCAGCTCCTCAGGGCCTCCCTGTGCCCGGGGGAGAGTGTGTGGTCAGACATCCTGTCGCTAAGTTTCTTCCCAGACGGAAACTCTGAGACTCTACAATGGTCTCCATTGAATAGCTGTGTAGATAGAAGTTCAGGTCTGACTCGCAAATATTATTTTCATAACTTTGGTTGGAGAACTTAAAGATTTAGGCAACGCTATGGAGTGTGTAAGTTTACTAGGGAGGAATCACTTAAGGCAGAACAGTTATTAGCTATGAGAGGCTTGTATTTTATTGCGTTGATAAGATCATACAAACAGCCACGTAGCTGTTATCAGATAAGATGTTTTGTGCACAGATGGTGATCATTCATGCTATGTATAAGATGTTAAGCTTTCAATTAAGTGTTCTGATTCTTGGAAAGTAAAGAAGGTAGGTGGCGACATATATACTAGTAGCTGTTATCTACTATAAGCTGACAACAGGCATCAAAATTGATCAACATATTTAGAACTAACCTAGCCACTTATCAGGTTAGTTTTCAGATAAAACACTGTGATTCTGACAGATCAAACAGAAATTTGTATTTATTTATTTTACTTTCAGTCAAATTTCTAGAAGTGGAGGCTGATGACAAACAATCTTATCTGATGTGGTTGTTTTGGTTGTACAGAATGCATTAGATAGCATGAAATGACCGGTTCCAAGACTGCTGGTTACAGACATTACTGATGACCTCATCGCACCAAAGGTTATACAGAAGCAAATCTCACCTCTGGTGTTTCTTTGTTGGTGTGACTAAGGAATTACAACATATATTTGAACCAAGTGGACAGACTTACAGTGTGGCCTTCAGGTCTCTGCAGAGTGCATGATGGACTAAAGAAGCTCTGTATGCCAAGAGATACTCAGGCCCTAGAACTTCAATGCAATGCTGCCAAGAACATTTGTTTCTAGAACTGTAGCATGAAGATGCTGCTCTGAGACTCTAGATGCATCCTTCCTTTCCTCTTTTTAGGGGGTTGCTTTCTGAGAGGACTTCTTGCTGATAAGTAGATAGTCCCCGACTCCTTTCTAGTCCTGAGTCTCCAGCGAGGAGCTCCTTACAAAGCAGTGAGCCTGGGTTGCAGCTGTGTTTCCCTCCCTTCCCCAGGTGGGACTGCGGTGGGATCCCTCACTCAGAAGAGCAGCTGTGACAGGGAGTGTGAAGGAAGTGGCTGGAGAAACTTCCAGGGATCCCCGGCCTGGGAAACGTCTGCCCTCCCTTCCACACTGAAAATTACACACTTACCAACTAAAATGCCACTCCTGGCTATACCTTCCATTATAAACAAAAGTGGTATAATTAGGCCTGAACTTGGCATGTCTACCAGAGCCCCATGAGGATGGTGATTGCTTTACTCAATTATTTTTACAAGTATTATTCAGGGGAGAACTGCTTATTAATAAGGTACTGGGTGTGCAAAGGACGGTGAAAACTAACTTCAAAAAGATGGCACAGGGATGGAAACAGGCCTGTTCAGTAGCTGCTACGTGAGATACACTCGGGAGGTAAGAGAATAGTATGTCTCCTAATACTGCAAAAAGCACATGCAATGACTTAGATTCTACATATCTCATATAAAATCATCATCTCTCTCTAGGAGGAGGTATTTAAAAAGAAAGTTAGGCCCAGAAAAACTTCAGCAATTTTCCAAAAGTTGGATGGCTATGGCATATTGGCTATTATTCTCCCTAGAATGTATATACACCCTAATAGGTCAGAAATTATCTTGCACACAAAGGACAGTCCCCGTCACATAACATTTTATCAATGAAATCTTTTGAATGAATGAGTGAATGAATGGATTCTGTTTCCAATTTATCTTTCTTGCCAAGGCACTTCACCACATTTCCCACCTACATGCTTATAGCAACTCAATGTGGGTAGTGAACTTCGAAGTGAGCTTGAGGGCTTGAAATTGAGACGCCAAAGGAGTTGGTTCTCCTCCCTCCCTGCAGGCTGCGGAAACACCTCTGGATCCGGTCTCCCACTGCATTCCCATTTCACCACGCCGCACTCGCGAGGCGTTTTATAGCTAGCAAGGTTGTTTCACGCATGTAACACTCCTGAAGGTATTTAGAAGCAGCCCCGTGTTACAAACAAAGACATTTTCAAAGCCTGGCTGATGCAGACAGCCCCGGGCCGCCCGTCCAGAGCTCTCCTTGGTCCCTCCCAGAGGTGACTACTTTGGGCAACATTGCGCTCTGCACGCGCTTCTTCTGCAATGTCTATGACATCCCATATCTTCTCTTGTTTATCTGCTGTCCTCCCTCTTTTACCGTGTGATGGCTTTCTGGGCAGGTACTCCGTCCTAGTCTTCATCATATGCTCGGAGATGAGCACAGATACACACACGTTAGCTTTGTGG